GCTTAAACATTAGGGAAGAAAGAATCCGTCTCCCTAGGAAGTACAACCACTCTGTAGCTACAAGGAGAGTGAGCTAGTTGAAGAAACTCCAAAATCATTCATGTGATTGTTCTTAAAGATTACTTGCAGGAATACTTGACAATTTCGCTGCCAGAGAATAGACATCAAAGTATACTGAATTCATCACTGGTAATTATTTAAAAAAATACATTGTGCACAGTTATTGCTAATTTGGGAGACAAGTAGTTTGGAAAAATCTTTGGGGAAAATACTTCACCATGTGAATCAGCTCTGATAAAACCCTGTCTTAGGGATCCGGGACTTAGTCATGTCACGTACAGACTAACTATATGTAGCCATGACCTCTCTTCTTTTCCCCTAGAAATGCTTTAACTGGTGTGTTCACTGATGGCCGTTTTTAGCTGTATAAATGATGACTTCTTTCATTAAGTGGAAGTAAAAGCTCGGCACCTGAAACGTTTTCACAAATTAAAATCCTTCTTGGTGGCATGAAAGATTGGTTCCACATGTTCTTCTCAGGAAAGAATTAGTTCTGAGCATGCCGCAGATACATAGTCCCCTGTACTGGAGGACAGTATTGCATTTCATTTTGGTGTCATAATTCCAAACGTGTCAGGAGCTTCCCATGAGTAGGCTGAGAAGCCAAAACAGCCTGAGGCTGGGTGGTGGGGAAAGAGGGCTAGGGTCAGAATCAGAAGACCTGGGCTGGAGGCCTGGCTCCGTCGCTGATCAATCTGTGACCTTGGTGAGTTATTTGAACCCTCTGAACCTTACTGTCCTTGTAGGTAAAGTCAATATGCTAATAAGGAGAGGATGATGCTATCTGTCAAATTGTGTGCAATTTAAGAAAACCCAAACAAACCTATATGTTTAGAATACCTTTCACGGGCACTGTGTGCTGGCTCTCCATCTTCACTCTTTTAGGAAGGCTAGGGTTGACAGTGCAGTGTTGCCTACAAACGTAGATTCACAAATTGCCACAGCTTGGAGAGACCTGAGTTGTCATCAACTTTAAGTCTCTGGTTTTCAGTGAAGCAAATCGAGGCCCTGAGAGCTGGAGGGGTTGCTTTATTTAGCTCACCAGATCACTACTGGAGTCGAAACTTCCGAACGCTCCTTCACACCAGGTGATTCACATCTAAAACTGTGAGTTGAGGAAAGGATCTTTTCATTATTTTTGATGTAGGTGTATGTGGGGGAATACTTAAGACATGCTAGATCTAGTTTTATTGAAAAAGAACATGGCTTTCTACGAAGAAAAGGAAGAGAAATCTGACAGCTGACTGGCTTCTGTTATTTCCCTCTTCTTTATCAGTATAATAAGTACTTCGGTGAGTTTGGTTTAAGTGCTCTCTATGGTCCCTTTCACTTACAAATGCCTTGTGACTCCATGGCTATAGGTATCGAACACCTTCTGAGCCTGCAAGGAATATGTTTCCAAGGGATCTCATCATGCATGGCCTCGAGCAGCAGCAGGGTGGATTAGGGACAACTGGGGAAGTTCTGAAAATCTGAGCTCCACTGAGGGTGAAGAGCATAAAATAAGTGGACTAGAAGGGGGCTTGAGGCTGGTGTATCTGGGTTGGCATGTGATTGACAGAATTTAGAGGAGGTAAGTGGAGTTGAGGATGCATTTGCACAGAGGTTCAAGTGCCATGCAAGACATGAGTTTGCTACCATTCCTGAAGCAGCGATGTTCCAGTCTTTGAACTCCTATGGTTCTATGACTCAGGCTTGGCTGCCACAAGGCAGGTGCTCAAAAATATTTTTGGAATGAAAAATGAGTAGAACTAAGGGTAATTGCATTTGTAGCGCCCCTGAAACCTTCTGATTTGGGCGGAACATTGTTTCTTTAAATGAGTAGAGAATAAATATGGGAATAAATTTAGTAAAGTGCTCTATTACCACCATCTCCAAAGAAGTACTGGGGGGAAATACTAGTCACTCAGAGGTACTGGTTGACAGTAAGTCTATGAGTCAAGGTGAAGAACACAGGAAACGTGTACACTTGAGTCCAGCTCCTCTTCTCTAATCGCTACAAAGTATATGTTCCTCACATATGAAGTGTTTGAAGACTACCAGGCGCACCCAACCACGTGTCAGGTTAAGTCAATGATATATTGAGTGCTGATTGTGCTCCTAGCTCTGGACAGAACGTTGCAAACCAGTTCAAGGATATCCATTCATCGAGTTACAAAGACTTGAGCAATGATGACCTTTACCAGACAGCTTACATTCAGAGCAAGAGAATGAATCCAATCAAGTATGGAATATCATTTTTGGGTATTGGCTGCCACAGTTAAAAAAAATAACAAGATAGCTTATTCTCTCCTATCACCTAGGCTATTTTTGGACTGTCCCTTTGCCAAGAAACAGGCAAATTGGAAAGTTAACCTAACATGCACATAAGTAAGTACTGTGATGTGAAACAACTCCCAGACAAAATAGTGTGTGTGGGGATTGTTCGTAATTTCTGCTACAGCGTAACGTCCCTCTCTTAGTGCGGATACAATCAGAGAAGAAATCTTGGAGCGGAAACTGTGGCTCCAAGTGGTGAAACATTTCTCTTAGCATCAAATAGCTGTTCAATGACTTCGACGTAGGACATCGTTGGCCTGGTTTCCGTTCAATGAGCTTTTCCTAACACCACATGGATAGACTCCTGCGATGATATCTAGGATGTCTGCAATTACGGGCAGGAAGCTTTTGTGAGGATCCACCTTTATCAATTAATTGGAAAATCCTACTGAGATGCAGTTGAGGATATTTCAAATGTTAAAGTGATAAATAGGTGTTTTCAGACACATTTTCCTGTTTACAGATTCGACTTGATAATAATAATGAAATTATAATAATAAAGTGACAATGATAGATACTAGTTTTGGGTTGTTGATTACTCGATGTGAACCATAGTGCCAAGCCGTATATAGATTCAGTACGGAATATCCGAGTTAGAGAAATTAAGAATTGATCCAAGACCACATCTCAGTAAGTGCTGGGGTCGGAATTTGAGCTCAGGTCTCTCAGATGTCAAAACCTGTGCACTTGATCTCTATATTATAATACCTGTTGCTGTCAAGTCGATTCTGACTCATAGCAACCCTATAGGATAGAGTAGAACTGTCTCATAGGGTTTCCACGGAGTGGCTGGTGGATTTGAACTGCCGACCTTTTGGTTAGCAGCCAAGCTTTCAACCACTGTGCCACCAGGGTGCCTCATATTATAATAACTATTTCAAAATTGGGGTTGGTAGAGGGGGTATGCTTTTACTGTGTTCCATTAGGTACAACATTCTATTATATATTTATAATTGAATTTATGCATCACACTACAAAACACATGCCCGGTACTCAGTATCTGTTGGTTGATTGACTAATTGATTTTTGAGAGGAAATATGAGATAAATTAGTGTGACATAGCAGAAAAGGCTGAGAAATAGAAGTCTGCTGATTTCTGGGTGGGCTAATCCCTTCTATACAGTTTAAGGAAATCATCTCTTCTCTTGCGCCCTTGTGTTTGGATAATCCCTAAGGATCTTTCCAGTTCTATAATTACGTGATCCTTGAAAACCATAGTCTAAAAAGAAAGGATCACAAAGTATACTTGGAGAAAAATGGGGTGTTTTGGTAGGTTTTCTAAATATACTTAAAAGATCTGAACTATGATGAGGAATGGTAGTAAAGAATATTTAGTCTCAGAACCGGGTCATGACTTTTTCACCTCTGGGATCTCCATTCCCTCTGTCCTCTGTGTGAATGGCAGCATTAGTTAAGAGTTCCTGCTTTAAAACAGGCTGGATTATTCTAATTTAAACATAAATCACAAAACGGAGCTCCGTTTGGAGGTGTTCTTTTGCTCCTTTATTTGGGACACTGATGATCACAGAGATTTCAAAATATTGCTTCTATACAATTTTTTAGATACAATCAAATAACCCAGTAAATCTGCATTTTACTTATTTTGGGTGAATACACGAAACAAATGACTATGTCTAATGGCAGCAATACTTCAAATTTCCAGAGACAAGGATGGATCTCAGCCGTTTCTCAACTTGGGAGAATTCAGTCAAAACTTACTTATCTCCCCACATCCATGAGGCATCGATGCTAGGCTCAGTCCCGGCTTTCTGCCCACTCCCAGCCTAGCCCTTCTACAAGTAACCTGTGCGAAAGGACTATAGAATGAGGGATCTGGCAGGACTCTTAGGGACGAATTCCTTTCTTCAGTCTCCCTTTTTGAACAGTGAAATGAGCCCCAGCGTCTTGGACGCTGAAAGCCCTCCGCGTGTGCTTTCAGGCTTTCCACAGCGGTTTCTGGTTACACTCCCTCAAATATCCTCGGAGCCTGTATTTTCCTGCCTCCTACCTTTGCTCATGGAATGCCCTTCCTTCCACCCCCATCTCAGCCTGTCAGAGTCCCATCCATCTCAAATGTCACCTGCGTCCTGGAGCCTCCTCTGGCTGCCCTATCCTCCTGTTACATGTGTTCCTTTCTCCCTTCCCAGAGCACTGCCTCTCGTCTCCTGCTCTCACCTCTCTTTGGAACTTATCATATCTTCTGTTGTATTGTAAGTGTTTGTTTACGTCTCTAATCTGTGTTTTAACTATTTTTATCCTTCTCGCCCACATTGCTTTTCATATTACCTTGAACAAACTGGGCATTCTATAAATATGTGAGTTCACATGACCTCACAATTAAATAAAACAGAGAGACCAATCTTCCAATTTGTATGGAAGCAGAAATGAAATCAGGTTGATGGGACGTTAATAGGTTTCTTGACTCCTACTCCAGCACTATTTCCACCAGTATAGTCTTTCCTTCATTTTTTTCCTGAATGGGTTTTATTAATTAGAGTCGATTTTTTTCCCTCTTTGGGACAATGAAAAATATTGATGCAAAAAATTGCAGAAGCATGACTACGTTTGAAAAGGCGCTCAGCAATATTTGCGTTACTGTTTATTTGCAGGAGTCCACCAAGATGTCACTTGTAGCAGTGCCTTTCTACCAGAAGAGACACAAGCACTTTGACCAGTCATATCGTAATATTCAAACAAGGTACCTTCTGGATGAATATGCAGCGAAAAAGTAAGTTGAAATTCACTAACTAGATTCTTAGAGCTTTGTTTATAGTGTCCAACATTTAAAAGCAAGAAACGTTTATCCAGTGTCCTGAAACTGAGAGATGACTTGGTTTGGGAAGCAGTCTGGGAGTAGAGACGGCTGTGCTTACTGGTGTACGTCTCCCAAACCAGAGAAGGGATGTGGCTGAGACTCACGCCGGGCAGCAGCCCTCAGTGTGGAGATGGGCACGCTACCCTGATAGACTCTGATATACTCGCTCTGAACCCCTGGTTTAGATAATGGATGCAGGGATTTTTGAGTAACTGCTCATTGATTTTACTCTTCCTAACATACCTTCCGGAGCTAGAATCTCAAAAGTCACCAAAGAATAAAAGGCAATGAGAAGGAAACCAATGGAAGAGACCCTAGGTAGGAGAAAAGTTAACGGGTTCTAAAGCAAAGATTGAATGGAAGCCGATATTAATCATGATTTTACTACATTAACAATGAACGTAGCCAAAGTGAATTTATCCAACTGCGTAATAGGCTGGTAGCAAGTCCACATTTTCTTCTGCAAGTTTCTGAAGTCTCTTCACAGATGTGCAACACGTGCTGCAGTCAACACTATTTGCGTGGAAGCATATC